ATAAGCAGCAGTCCCTGAGCAGGACACTTCATTCCCTGAGCGGATGGATGAACGTTTTGTACGTTTTGTACGTTTTGTCACTGTTTTGTACGTTTTGTTCACAGCTCTATCCCCAGCTTTTAGATCATTGACTGAGTGCTTGATACATATATGTTGAATGAATTAATGTAATTTTATTGTGGTGTATAAAAGATATCAGAGGAAGTAATTCTCTGAGAAAGCTTAGTATTCTTTTTACAGGGCTGGAAGCTCCCAGGAAAACAAATTTTATAGGCAGGTGAGAAGAGAAAGTGATGCCGTCAGTTCAGTTGGAGCCCTCAGATAGGCAAAAGGACTTTTATAGGCAGGTGAGAAGAGAAAGTGATGCCGTCAGTTCAGTTGGAGCCCTCAGATAGGCAAAAGGACTTCAGGAAAAAGGACTTCAGTCTCTTCTGTGTTATCACTAAGGGTCACAGGCATGAGTTAGCTCTCTCACCTGACCTTGTATTAGGTCATCATCAAGAGGACCTCCCTTGGTTTCAGAGCAATTCTTAAAATTTTTGCAAGTCTTGGTAAGGAAAAAACACTTTTATTTTGGCAGAATATTAAGCTGTTAATATTAACACCAGAAATGTTCCAAACTTTATGCATTTCAGTTGTTTATATCCCAAGTTTCCTTTCGTACAAACAATTCTTCATGGTGAGCCAAATTCACAGCTCTTTCTATGCCTTAGAAAATCTCCAACTCTGACTAACAGTAAATAATTAGAAATTCTAGGAAATATGTAAGTTCAGGGTTTAAAAAAAAAATCTACAGACAGCAAGGAGACGTCCATCTTAGCCTGTTTAAAAAAAAGATTCATTTTTATCTAAAGCAGCAAACTTCCCTCAGAATGGGCTGTAAAATAAAATTGGCTTCTTTCTTCATTGACTGTTAATTCAGGGTGAAGGGGTGGTTTTGTTTTTGATTGAATTGGTACCCCTACACTGGCTATTATTTTCTTGTAAGAATTCACTTAGAATCTAATCTTACTTTTGAAAGAGTTGTAGAACATCACAAGTCTACACTGAGAAACTCACTATCATTTCCCAATTTCATGAATAAATATCAGAAACAGTTTTATTCCTTTAAAAATTAACTTATTTCTATTTTATTCAGTTCCCACTTTACTTAAAAAAGTTTTCATTCATCCCTATGCTTCAGGTACATTAGAGAATTTATCAAGATCTGGGGCGTTATGGTTGGTTTCTATCAAATTTAAAAATTTACAAGGCTCCAGCCAGTCTGAGCCCAGTAGTTTGAGCTGTGCTGGAAAACACCTGGGTGCTTTAAAAAGCAGTGCCATTAAAGAAATTCTGTTGATAACACTGTAGTTGGTCCCAGTATTTTGGCTTTATGTTTCTTCAGCTGTAAAAACAGCAGCAATTAGAAAGTTAAGATGCTGTTTATTCCAAGATATTTTTCATGCAACATTTAAGATGTTTGCAGCAGGTTGAGTAACTACTTCTGTTGAGCTAGACCTCAGTAGGGAAAGGAAGAAGGTGTTGCAGACCAAACCTATTGAAAACATGACTGGGCTGTAAGAGATTTACTGAGGAGGGATTACTGAAGGTCAGCTTAATAATGCACTCCTGAAGGTCATTGTAGTGCCAGGTAGAAAACTGAGGCCAACACAGTGCTAATGAATTTTATGTGGCCTTCAGACCTAATGCCAAAATGTTTTCTTTGGCCAGCACATTGTTGTATTTGTTGTCATTATAATTTGAATTCATTTAGAGAAGACAGGCAGTTTCCTTTCACATTCCCTATTCTGTCATATCTGATAGCTTTCTACATTTGTGTTATTGGCCTAGTCCCTGAAGGCATTTGAGTTTGCAAACTTATTATAGAGGCTGCAGCCAGTTGTACATGCTTTGATTATTAGTTCGATCTTTGACCTTGGGCTTTGGAATAATTGTCCCTTAATAGTTAGAAGGAGGGGCCAGCACGGTGGGGCCAGCACATTGTTGTATTTGTTGTCATTATAATTTGAATTCATTTAGAGAAGACAGGCAGTTTCCTTTCACATTCCCTATTCTGTCATATCTGATAGCTTTCTACATTTGTGTTATTGGCCTAGTCCCTGAAGGCATTTGAGTTTGCAAACTTATTATAGAGGCTGCAGCCAGTTGTACATGCTTTGATTATTAGTTCGATCTTTGACCTTGGGCTTTGGAATAATTGTCCCTTAATAGTTAGAAGGAGGGGCCAGCCCGGTGGCACACTGCTACAGTGCGCCGCTTGGGAGTGTGGCGGCCCTCCCGCCGAGGGTTCGAATCCCACATACAGACCGGTTCCCGCTCACTGGCTGAGCGAGGCGCGGGTGCGACACCGAGGGTTGCGATCCCGTGGCCGGTCCCAGCCCGGTACGGGCGCGACACTGAGGGTTGCGATCCGTTGCCGGACACGAAAAAGGACAAAAAGGAAAAAAAAATAGTTAGAAGGAGGATACTTTCAGGTATATGTGTTTTCAAGTTCCAATCCTGCAGGAAAAAGAAAGTTCGTTTCCATGATGACTGAAACCAGAGACTTAGAATACAGTTTCCTTGACTTAATGGGCTAGAATTCAGGCAAGTGCCCACTCTGGAGTGACCCAGGGTAGCATATGTTTATGGCCTAAGACAGTTAGGGCCCACACCAACCACATGGCTTGGAAATTCAATTTTAGGAGCAACAAGTGTCTACTGTAACAAGACATATAAATTGCTTTGGATAGAATATTTTAAATCTAAAAAATCTGGGACATTCTTGAAGCATGATGCATCTTTTTTTCTGAATTTGTAGTTTTTGATAGCACTAAAAATGGCATGATTCCTTCTAAAAGTGTTTTTTTTTTTAAGAATATATTCTGTACATAATTATTAGGGAAACCCAAAACAGCTCATATGTAAAAGCACACATAATATAAATTTCAAGTTTTAAACCTTTAGTTTTACTGTTAGATGTTTCATCGCAGGGTGGGTGGGTAGGTAGTTA